AAAAATAGTGTAGATCGAGTAGATCTATAAAAATTTTAAAATCTTGAAAATTGACGGTAAAAAAATGCATTACAAGATGCACTATTTCCAAAACTTGAAATCCATTTTCTTCTCATGTTCATGCATCTTCATGTCGAGATGATCAATTTGAGGATATTTAGGTATTAAAACAACCTCTTCTAGTGAAATTTTTGAGGTAGGCTCGAATTTGATTGTTTAGAGCTTCAACTCTATATAAACATTTCCCAATAGTAAAAGAAAGGGCAAAAACTCATAGTCGTATGGTGGAAATAGACCCGATGGGTAAACCCAGGATGTACCAAGTATGCGTCCAATTTTTTAACCTAGTAGGTCAGGTCTGGGTCCAAAACCTGGACCCAAATACTATTCGGTCTGGGTCTGGGTCCATCAAGACCCCGACCCGTTGCCACCCCTACTTTCAATTATCTAGCACATTTTAAGTTGGATGATTTTACATTTTAAGTTGGACGATTTTGATGGGGGCACACGATTTTCAAGTGTCCAAAGTGAGCATTTTTACAAGGTGCACAATCAATTGTCTCTCACTCTAATCAAATACAATTTTGTGAAAGCATAAATTGATTTCCAACTATTTGGGGTCATATTTCGTTATTATGCTGTATTTCAAAACTCATCTAAAATAAAAGGTTGGTTTGGGCCAATTTTATTGAAAGTAAAAGGACTAGCTTAAGTCTTCCCAACGCCTTACGATCATTTCCTTAATATAATTTAATTTAATTTAGATGGATAGCGACACAATAGTTGAACAGTTGACTAATAATCAACTTACAAAAAGAAATTTCTCATTAGAATTTGTATTTCTTTTAATTTCAAAGATACAAGAAATTCTTCGATTTCTTCCAGAAACAGAATTATTTATCTGCTTCTCTCATTCCGTGAATAGCCAGGACATTGGAAAATATCCTGAAAGGCATTTTGGGATTCGATTGGATTCTATCCAAACTCCAATTAGTCGATTTCTTGATTTTGAACATTTATAAAAAAAATTCTGCTCATTTGTCCTTTTTGTGTATTTCTTCCTATATGAATCATGCATAGGGCATGAATAAGCTTGCCTTCCAACTTCAAGAAGAGTTAAGCTTCTACAATTCGATTGATTAAGCTCCAATGATAACAACTTTCAATCGCATTCATTTCAGCATTCTATAGAAACACCACTTCCAAATAAGTGGAGCTCACATACATTTGTGTTTTTAGAGAGCCCTCATCCCACATATCCTACTTTATCAATGATAGTTTCTGGATCTTTATACCATTTTAAACTGCTTCTTTTGGCTCAGTACTTGTTAACTAAAGGCCAACATGCATAATCTTGATGAATGTGTATTTTTGAGGAGAAAATTTCAACATGGGCTAAAGAACACCACCGAGTTCGTTACAACGATCAAAAAATTACTTTGTAGAGCTTCCAAAGCTCGTACAGAAAGAGTCATACAACAAATTCTCTCTCAAAAAAAGAACAAAAATATATGACAATCTAATAAGGAAAAAGTTTATATAAAGCCGAGGCTCTAAATAATCTAATCAAAGCCCACCTTAAATATTTCAGTAGAAGAGGTTGTTTTGATTCCCAAATATCGTCAAATTGATCATCTCCACATCAAGATGCATGGACATGAGAAAAAAAATAGATTTCAAGTTTTAGAAATAGTGCATCTTGTAACGCATTTTTGGACCATCAATTTTCAAGATTTTGAAATTTTCATAGATATGCTGGATCTACACGAGTTTTAAAGCTTTAAATTTTATAATTAAAAATATAAATATATTTTAAAACTATCACAAAGATTTCCAGTATTGAAATCACATTTCTCGACACTATTTGAAGGTGGGCTTTTGTTTACAGCCTAGGCTCTATACAAACCGCACCCATCAAATAATCATTTAGCATAAGTAACTTTGTTACTTGCTCAGGATGTGATATGACTTTCCAAACCCTCCTCCGAAAACTGCACACTTCGATCTCAAAGCATCGCCACAACCATGGGATCCCTATCCGACCTTGCGATGTGGTCAGGGATTCATGCGATAGTTTTGGCAAATTAGAAAGGATCCGGAGGTTGTTGACCTTTCCTATATATTTGTGGGCAATCTTCCTACACGATCATTTCCAAAAACAAAAAAACAAAAAATCAAAAGAGTTACAAAAAAACCGAGTACCTTTATCAAGGGACCTTCATAACATATCCTCCACCTCCGATACTCATTTCAAGGGATTCTCAACAATTATTGCGAATGCCCTTGACATTCCAACCACGTGAGGCCCCACGACGTAGCGCACGCTTCCGCTTAGTCTTCAATGACTCAGACTCTGGCGTAAACCCATCGTCAGAAAGAGGAATTTCTGGGAGCCCCATTGCCGCAGTTTCTGATCCTCTCTCCTCTTCCTTCACCTCTTCTTCCTTGATCTCCTCTTCCCGGATTTTCCCAACGCTTGGCAAATCTTCCCCTAAAGCTGCCTGGTTTTCTATTAAAACTTCATCAAGCATCTGCAACTAAAGAGAAGGAAAGAAACAGAAACAGAGAATATGAGAATCATAAGAGGGAGAAAAAAAAAAGTGGGGTAAATGAAGCATAAAATTGGAAGCTATATGCCCAAATATCAATGGATGAAAATTGTGACACAGACTCAGAGTTCCACTTCCCATTTGAGCTTGCATTTTTCCAACTGAATTTCACCCAATTTTAGAAGAAATAAATTTAACGTAATTGACCGAAGATTGGGAATTTTCTCTTCACTTTTTGCCATTTCTCTTAGCAAATGGGGAATGCCTAGGCTTGCCTTCAGCCAACCTCATGGGAAATAAGGTTGAACTTTTATCCATTTTTCAAAATCATAGGAGTGTAATGGACTAAGAAAGTCAGTACCAATGAGCAATGGTAGATGGAGATGGCGACTGGCCCACCATTGAGTGACCTGTTCTGGTGGGTACCATTCTCGTTCCATCACCATACACTTCCTATGATTTTGGTTTTGCATGGTCCATTGATCATAGGATATACCAGAAGCAAAATGCAACTACAAAGATGAAGTAACTTACATCTTCACAAGCATCTCCAATATGAGGTGGATCAAATGGGACATCGGCATCAGAATAAATGCCGAAGAAATCAGGTATCCCTGAGTCCATATAACTTCCTGAGACCCCACTTCCTGAGACCCCACTTCCTGAAATGCCCAAATCAACCCTACCAAAGTCCAAGATATCATGGCATGGATTATACAACCCAACGATAGGAGGATCTGAATCTCCATTAACTGGCGAGACTTGGGGGCTCTGAGCTGTGCTAGCCTGCCTATCAATTGAATTCTCCATTGAGGAGAACTTATCGACATTCTTCAACATCACCTTATTTAGCTGACCCTTGAGCTTGAGTATACGAGATTGCAGGCCCTCTAGTCTCCATAGTAATTGCTCCGGTGAGGTTTCCATACTCCCCATTTCGGATGCCACCCATACATGACTAGCCCCAAAACCATCCACTCGAATATTCCTTTGCTCTTCAGTGAGGACTACAATACAGTGAATTATAATGCGTACAAGAGAGAACCCATATCATCTTTTTATACTCGTAAGAAAGCATATTTTTCACATCATCTAAGAGTGTTTTTTGTGTGGACTTTCAATGGTGAGCTTTGATACTGAACTCTACATTTTATGAGCAACACCACCCACACATGAGCTGCAAAACAATTTTTAGTAGGAGAATATTTACCATTTCTAAGAACAATGAGAAAAATACCTTATATAGTAAGGGCTCATGTTCAGCATGTAAAGATGTCTTATATACATGTAACCCTCAAAAAAAGAAAAGATATCCAATGTAGGGAAAGGTTTCTATACTTTCCCTACAGCATAGAAGATTTATGCTTCCCCTACCATCCAGCTGTCCAATTTTGATCAAGAGAGTCACTCACCGTTTGATCTTAGATCCGACGTGGCAAAGTATTTTATTTTTATTTTTTTTATACAAATTGTATGAATATGAAATTTGGTACGTGCCATATTCTCATTGGGGTGCACCTATAAAAAATATTTTTTTGATAAAATATAATGGCCAAAATACCCCTTGAAATTTCCAGGGGTATTTTGGTCATTTTATTTTATTGATAATATTTTTTTTATATTTTTCGGTAGTGCAAGTTTAATAGAGGATTGGATGTCCAAAATTTGATGTCAAAATAGTTTATAGAAAAAACTTAAGAATAAAATAGTGTAGAGACATGATATTGTGATTGGGGCAATTTTAGCCCTCCATTCAGAATAGACGGTTGGATAAGGGGAAGTATATAAGTTTTATGCTGTAGGGTAAGCATAGAAAGCTTGCCCTCCAATGTACAACGTTATTAGTACTATAATTATCCTAAAATTTGTTACATACTAAATGATTCCATAGAAAACCATGTTTCAAATACACAAATACAACTGCTAAGGACCTGCAGACAGTCAGCACATCCCATTAGGATCCATTCACAATTTAGAAGCATATATGGAAAATATGGGTGAAATTAATACCATCTAGTATAGTTAATGCATGTTAAAAACAACTGTGCTTTAATTTTGATTGGATATTTAAAAACAATTGTTGCAGAGCACATTTAGCTTCAAAGCAATTGAAGGAAAGATGCTATTTAACTAGCACTTATTGAAGTAAGTACTTGAGGAAATATTTGATCTTTTTAATAAATAGGGAAAAATTGCAGTGGGAGAAAATAAAGCATCGCAACAAATGGCCATAAACTTACTGTATAGGGGCAAATTTATCACTCTCAGCAAAAATTGGAGATGGTTGGAACAATTTTAATTTTGGGGATAATGGATAGAGAATAGGTTACAGATGAATAAAAGAGGGGAAACATTTAAGAAGAGAATATTATCAGTGTTCTTTAGTGAATACTTGACAAGAACAGCATGAGAAGCAGCAAAACGGATAACGAAATATGATTGGGAAAATATAACGAAGCATTTAATAAAGCTTTTAAAGATGTCTACGAATATTAAACAACTTTAGCAATGAAAAGTAACATAAATATAACAAAAAACTACCAGGAAGCCTTATGAGAAAATCACACATACCTTTCTAGCAAGCATGTAGTATAGACTCTAGTCCAACATATTTAACTTTCACAAAGAAACTACTCAACAACATCAAGTGTTTAAATTCCATTTTAAAGAAGGAAATTCACAAGACATTGCCCCAACCACAGATATTAGAACTGCAATACAAAGCTTACCCAAAGATAGGTACCTAAAATTTATTCAACCAAAAATTTAAGCTCTTTTATTCAATTTAGAAATTTTTGGTTGAATACAAAGCTTAACCAAAATTTAAGCTCTTTTATTATTTGCCCAAACAATCCTACTGAAGGAAATAAAAAAATTCTTCTTTTTTTTGGTTATCCAAAAATTTATTGGCCTGAAAATTTCTAGGAGAAGGAACTGGAGGAATGCTTCCTTCTTCATCAGCATACAAAATTATGATACACACGATAAAAGAGATAGAGAAGCCACTAATACCTGGCACACTATTACAGTCATCATCAACAGATACAGCATCTGCCTCTGGCTTTTTCCTCTTCTCTGCAAGACATTACTAATTCAAAATAATGGAAAATAAATGTGGGGGGGGTGAGAGAGAGAGCCCTACCATAGTAAGAGAATAATGGATGCAGAGCCATATAGTACTGCATATCAATGGTATCTTCAACTTTTTTCCTCCTCTGCCTTTTCTTCACTGGTAGTCTTGGATTGGGAGCTGAGAAAGGCAAGACCCTTGTAGAGGACGAATCTTGTGCAACCTGGCCAAACGTCAACCGTTTCCTTCTTTTGATTTCCAAAAGTAGCCGGTCATATTTTGATGCCTGGGACTGAAGCTCCTTTATCCGCAATTCTAACCAATGGCACCGCCACATGACAGGGTTGCGGTACTTTTTCCAATCAGCTGTCAATTTCTTCTTTCTAGAGAAAATTTGGCATTTTTTTAAGTCCTTTCTATAGAAATTAACACATTAATACAGATTCAGTTCTTTATGACAATCAATATGCTCAAGTAACCTGAATTCCAGACTGACTATGTACTTTGCTGTTATTTAAATGGAATTTAATTATTCATAAAAATAAATAAAAACGAAAAAGAAAAATAATCAACATATACGGTACATTCAACACCCATTGAATGGGCAAAATGTAGAAAACACCAAACATCATTTGCACTATACATAGTACAAGCACATAAACAAGCATGACGAGCGCCTGCATACCCACACCCACACATACATGGCTCTGCATACCATTATAGCATTTTGGGCTACAGACAGTTTGCTAGCACCTCCCTGACTGTTCACTGTCACCACACAGATGGTTGGTGAGTGTCATTCCTCCGCTCAGTGCATCAAAAAACATGACAGGCCTTGGACGGTAGAAAGACACAATCCCAACCATCATTGTTGATGTCTGATGGTCAATGAGATGCCCGAATACTAAGCATAGATTTGCCCCTAAACAAAAACACATACATACACACACACATGGGGGGAGAAACAGAGAGAGAGAGAGAGAGAGAGAGAGAGAGAGAGATCGCCCAACCAATAAAAAGAAAAATAACTAACTTTTAATTCCATCTAA